TAAATGTTTGATAGAATTCAGGAGTGAAGCCATCAGGTCCTGGGTTTTTCTTTACTGGGAGACTATTTATTACAGCTTTGATCTCATTACTTGCTATTGGTCTTTTCAGGTTTGGATTTCTTTACGGTTCAATCTTGTTGTTTTTGTCTAGGAATTTGTCAATTTCTTCTAGATTTTCCAATTTATTGGCCTATAGTTGCACATAGTGGCCCCTAATAAATCCTTTGAATTTCTGCAGGACCAGTTGCAAGTCTACTTTTTTCACCTCTGATTTCATTTATTTGGATCGTCTCTCTTTTTTTCTTAGTCTGGCTGCAGGTTTTTCAATGTTGTTTAACTTTTCAATAAAGAAACTTTTTGTTTCATTGATCTTTTGTATTGTTTTCTTCATTTTGATTTCATTTATTTCTGCTCTGATCTTTATGTTTCTCTTCTACTAATTTTGCGTTTGTTTTGCTCTTGCTTTTGTAGTTCTTCAAGATGCATCATTTTGTTGTTTATTTAAAGTTTTTCTTCTTTCTTGATATAGGCACTTATAGCTATAAATTTATCTTTTAGTACTACTTTTGCTGTATCCTGTAGGTTTTGTTATGTTATGTTTCCATTATCATTTGTTTCAAGAAATTTTTTAATTTCCTTCTTAATGTCTTCATTGACCTACTAGTCATTCAGGAGCATATTGTTTAATTTCCATGTATTTCTATACTTTCTCAAATTCCTCATTATTGATTTCTAGCTTTATTCCATTGTGGTCAGAGAAGATAGTTGATATTATTTCAATTTTTGAGAATGCTGTTTTGTGACCTAAAATATGGTCTATTCTTGAGAGTGATCCATGTGCCAAGGAAAATAATGTGTGTTCTGAAGCCGCTGGATGAAATGTTCTGTAAGTATCCATTAGGTTTATTTGGACTACAGTGCAGATTACATCCAATGTTTGTTTGTTGATTTTCTGTCTAGGAGATCTGTGCAAAGCTGAAGGTAGAGTGTTGAAGTCTCCAGGTATTATCATATTAAGGTCTATCTCTCTCTTTAGCTTTAATAATATTTGCTATATATATCTGGGTGCTCCAGTGTTGGGTGCGTATATATTTAAAATTGTTGTATCCTCTTGCTGAATTAACTCCTTTATCATTATGTAGTGACCTTATCTCTTATATTTTTACTCGTTAAATCTATTTTGTCTTATATAAGAATAGTTATTCTTGCCTAAAGTGTGTTTCTTTTAGACAACAGATCTTTGGGTCCTGTTCATAAATTCATTCAGTCAGTCTATGTCCTTTAATTGGAGAGTTTAGTCCACTTACATTCAATGTTATTATTGATAAGTAAAGACTTACTTCTGCCATTTTGTTATTTGTCTTGTTGTTTTGTGGTCTTCTCTTCCTTCTTCCTTTTCTTCCTGTCTTCCTTCTAGTAAAGGTGATTCTGTCTGGTGATATAATTTAGGTTTTTTTTTTTTTTTGCATTTTTTTGTGTATTCATTGTATGTTTTTTGAGATTACCATGAGGTTAGCAAATACTATCTTATAACCCATTATTTTAAGCTAGTAACAACTGAACATTACTTGCATAAACAAACATGAAAAAAGAAAACAAAGGCTCTATTTCTTAACTTTGTACCCCCACTTTTTAACTTCTTATTGTTTCTATTTTTATCTTGTTATAGTGTCTATGTTCTGAAAAGGATTGTTGTAGTTATTTTTGATTGGTTCATTGTTTAGTTTTCCTACTTAAGAGTAGTTTACATACCACAGTTACTATGTTATAATATTGTGTTTTTCTGTGTACTTGCTATTAGCAGTAGTTTTGTACCTTCAGATAATTTCCTATTGCTCATTAACGTCCTTTTCCTTCTGATTAATGTACTCCCATTAGCATTTCTTATAGGATAGGTCTGGTGTTTATGAAGTCCCTCAGATTTTGTTTGTCTGGGAAAGTCTTTATTTCTCCTTCATGTTCGAAGGACATTTTCACCAGAATACTATAGCAGGATAAATGTTTATTTCCTCTAGCACTTTGAATATATCATGCCACTCTCTCCTGGTCTGTAAGATTTTCATTGAAATGTCTGCTGCCAGACATATTAGAGCGCCATTGTACATTATTTGTTTCTTTTCTCTTGTTGCATTTGTGATCCTTTCTTTATCCTTGACCTTTGGGAGTTTTGATTATTAAATGCCTTGACATAGTCTTCTTCGGGTTAAATCTGTTGGTGTTCTATATTTGGATATTGATGTCTTTCTCTAAGTTTGGGAAGTTCTTTGTTATTATTCCTTTGAATAAACTTTCTATGCCTATCTCTTTACCTCCCCTTTGAGGCCAGTAACTCTTAGATTTTTTCTTTTGAGGTTACTTTCTAGATCCTGTAGGTGTGCTTTGTTGTTTTTCATTTTATTTTTTCTTTTGTGTCATCTGTGTATTTTCCACTACCCTGTCTTTAACCTCACCAATTCTTTCTTCTGCTTGATCAATTCTGCTATTAAAAGACTCTGATGTATTCTTCAGTATGCTAAATGCATTTTAACTCCAGAATTTCTGCTTGATCTTGATTCTTTTAAATTATTTTAATCTCGGTGTTACATTTATCTGATAGAATTCTGAGTTTCTTCTCTGTGTTATCTTGAATTTGAGTTTCCTCAAAACAGGTATTTTACTTTTCTGCCTGAAAGGTCACATATCTCTGTTTCTCCAGGATTGGTCCCTGATGCCTTACTTAGTTTGGTGAGGTCATGTTTTCCTGAATGTTGTTGATGCTTGTAGGTGTTTGGTGTTGGGGCATTGAAGAGTTAGGCATTTATTGTAGTCTTCTCAGTCTGGGCTTGTTGGTGCCCATTCTACTTGGGAAGGCCTTCCAGATATTCAAAAGGACTTTGATGTTGTGATCTAAGCCATTACCTGCTGTAGGGGCCACCCTAAGCCCAGTAATACTGTGGTTCTTTCCGACTTGTAGAGGTACTACCTTGATGACTTTGAGAAAAATCTGGAAGAATTCTCTGGATTATCAGGCAGAGGTTCTTATTCTCTTTTCCTACTTTCCCTCAAATGAATGGCATCTCTCTCTTTTCTGAGTCACCTGGAGCTCTGGGTGGTGTAACACAAGTACCTCTGTGGCCAAAACCACTAGAATTGTGCTGGGTTAGACCTGAAGCCAGCACAGCACTAGGTCTTACCCAAAGTCTGCTGTAATCACTCCCTAGCTATGTCCTATGTTCACTCAAGGCCCTGGGGCTCTACAATCAGCAGGTGGCAAAGCAACCAGGCCTGTGTCCTTCCCTTCATGGTGGTGAGTTCCCCCTGGCCCTGTGCATGTCCAGAGATGCTGTCAGGGGCCAGGGTCTAGAGTCAAGAACTTTAGAAGTCTACCTGATATTCTGTTGTACTGCGGATGAGCTGGGTTTCAAACCAAAAGTCTCAGTTCTTCCCACTCTTCCCTCCCCTTTCCAAAAGCAGAGATGCCTCACACCATGGCCACTGCCACCATAGGCCTATGGGGGAGTACTGCCAGACTACCACTAATGTTTCTTTAAAGAAAGGCTCTTCAGTCAGCTTGTAGTGAACGCTGCCTGGCCTGGGACTCACCCTTCAGGGCAGTGAGATCCCCTCTGGCCTAGGGCAGTTCCAGAAATGTATTCCGAGAACCAAGTCCTGAAACTGGTGACCCAAGGGCTCACTCTGTGCTCTACCCCACTGTGGCCAAGCTGGAAGACAATGTCCACTTTGCTTTTTTCCTCTGCTTTTCTCAGGTAGAAGGAATCTTGTCCTATAGCCACAATAGCTGGGACTATGCTGAGTCTCACCTGAAGCCAGAAATTCTCAGGGTCTCACCTAAAGCCCCCCATATAGTACCTAAGTATTGCTGTTGGTTATTCAGGGCCCAAAGGCTTTTCAGTTAGCAGATGATGAGTCCTTCAAGGACTGAGTCCTCTTCAAAGTAGCAGGGTCCTTTCTGGCCCAGTGTGTGTCTAGAAATGTCATCTGGGAGCTAGGGCCTGGAAAGGGGGCTTCATGACTCTGACTGGTACCCTATCTTGCAGTGGCTGAACTGCTATTCAAGATGCAAGACAAAGTCCTCCCAACTTGAGTCCTCCTTGAGCAGATGGAAACGGTCTCTTTTGGAGTCATGTGCTGTGCTGCCTGGGATTAGGGGAGGGGTAATTCCAGCACTCCCTTAGCCACTCGGTGACCACCCCCGCTCCCTGCCAAGTCCACTGTGTCTGGGCCTAGTGCAGCACTAGGACTCACCTAGGAATTTCAACTTTATTTAAGCCTCCAAAGTACTTTAGCTTGGCAGTGGCAAGGCTTGCAGAAACTTAAATTCCGACAGCTGGGATCAGCAATTCTTCACTAGCTAGGGCTGGTTTAAATTATCCCTCTGTGGCAGGTGTCACGTGAGTTTGGTCTGGTTTTGTTTTCTGTTATAATAGGGAAGCTCTGAGTTCAATATCTCACAGATGCTGCAATCTTTCTCTCCCCAGCACTCAGAAATGCTCTCCACACCACACCCCTGCTGCTGGGAGGATGGGGAAGGGGTGGCGTTGGCGATTCCAGACTGTTTTTCCTATCTCTTCAGTGCCTCTTTCAGCAGTATGAAGTTAAAACTACAGACTGTGAGTGCTCATCTGATTTTTGGTTCTTATAAAGGTGCTTTCTTTATGTAGATAGTCGTTAAATTGATGTCCTTGAAAGACGGATAATTGATGGAGTCTTCTGATTTCTTGCCTGGCGTATTTATTCATAGGCTTTTTATTTTATGTTTAAATATGTAAATATAAATATTTATGGATTTGCTATAAATTACCTCAAGCTAAGGTCACTTACAACCTATGAGTTCTAATATAAGTAGTAAGTAATCTTCTGTATTTCAGGAATCCAGTGTGTCAGATTTTTGAGACTCACTAGAATAATTTATGAATTAACTTTTCTTAGCATCTATGTAATTCCCCAAGGTCAGATTTGTTTACTATCAGGTACTAATTCAGCCGATCCATACAGCCACATAAATCTATGACAGAGCTTTTTACTGGGCAAGGTTAATCCTGGAAAGATGATGTGGTGATGGAAGGTAGTCAAGTAGGCAAACGATGAGGAAAAAACTGAAGCAAATCTCTTTCCTCCACAAGTTTCATGCCTCCCTTCTACACGCTCGGATCCCACTTCCCTTCTGTTGCTCAAGGATATTTCTTGAGGAATCAGTGGGGTAACATGTCCTCTGTCTCAAGTGTGAGAGATGGAAAGAAGAAGCATCTGAGCTTCCACAAGGTGCTCCTGCTCAGCACCTTGGGCAGTACATTGACGAGGAGATCTGGATTTATGAATCTTACATGAAAAAACAGGTAGCTCAGCAGTCTGATGAAAAATAGGGTGATGAAAAAGAGACAGCAAAAAATCCTAAAAAGAGAATGCCATGAAACTGTTAACCAGAAGGTTAGAAAACTTGGAACAAAAAATAAATCATACCTGAATGCATATCTGTCTCCCAATTGATATTCTAATGTCTCTCATGGATTATCACCCCCTTTCTTGACAACCTTTTATAATGGCAGCTTCCCTCTCCCATGTTCTGGCCTATTGGTTATTCTCTATCCTTTACCATGTTTTATTTTCTTGGTAGCATTTATCACTAAAATAATTTTGTTCTTTTATTTTTTGTTTTATTTTTGGTTTTGTTTTGGCAAGTTGTTTTTCAAAAAAGTTTCATTGGTTTATAACCCTCTAGCAAGGTATAGGTTTTGTGGACCCATATCCTCGCCAACACTTGATTATCAGATGTAAACACTTTTGCTGATCAAATGGGTGTAAAATAATCTCTCACTGTGGCCTCAATATGCATTTCCATGAGGAACAGTGATGCTGAACATCTGTTGATAGGTTTATTGGTTTTACGTGTTTCTTCTTGCCCATTTGTCTACAAGGTAGTTTTAGCTTTTCTTATTGACTTGTAAGAGTTTGTTTTACGTTGTTGATATCAATCGTTTTGCATTGTGTGTAGTGTTATATATCCTCCTAACTTTATAACCTTCACTTGCTCTAAGATATTAAAGAAAAAAATTATCAATTTTAATAGGGTATAGTTTGTCAATCTTTTCTTTAATTAGAATCAATGCTTTCTGTGTCCTTTTTACAAAAATTCCCTATCCCAAGACCTGAAAGATACCCATATTTTCTATTAAAAGTCTATGTTCATTTAAAAATATGTCTACAGATTCTTTATTACTCCTCCTTTCAAGAGAATTCCCCTCGATTGGAGTGTGGACTGGGCTTAATAACTTACTTCTAAAGAATGGAATATGGTGGAAGTCACAGTATGTAGTGTAGCTTCCTAGATTACATCATAAAGGTATTGCAGTTTTCTCCACAGACTGTGGAGGAAGCCAGCAGTCATGTTGTGAGGACACTCAAGTGGCTTTATGGGAGGGTCTGTGCAGTGAGGAACTGAGACTTTGTGTCAACTACCAGAAAAAGCTTGCCAGATATGCAAGTTACTTACCTTGGAAATATAACTTCTAGCTCCAGCCAAACCTTCTAATGACTGCAATTTTGGTCAACATCCTAACTGCAACTTCTTGACAGATATTAGCTAGAACCACTTGGCTAGTACCACCTGGCCCATAGAAACTGTGCCAATAATTGTTTGTTCTTTGAAGTCACTAAGTTTTTGGGGTAATTTATTATGTAGCATAGAAAATAATACAGAGTTTCGAAGATTTTTTTTTTTTTCAAGCATTTACATCTTTAACACATCTGGGCTTGCCTTTTGTATATACTGCATTTAGTGATCCAATCTCATATAGATAACCATTTTTTTTTTCCTGCTGTTCTTATTGAACAGTTCATTCTTCCTTTTCCTTTGACATGCAGTCACTGTCACATACCAAAGTTTGCTATGTGCACAATTTCTGAACTCTTTGTTCCATTCCACTAGGCAGTTTTCCTATTCCTGTCCCAATACCACACCATAATGATTACTATAACGTCATAGTAAGTCCTGATATCTGGAAGGGCGTGTTCCCCACTCCCTGCTCTTTAAAACTGTCCAGGTTATTCTTGACCCTTTATTCTTCATATAGAGTATATTTTAGAATTATTTTATTCAGTTCCATGAAAAACCCTTTGGAGAGTTTGATTGAAATTTGGCTGAATTTATGAATCATTTGGAGGCAATTCTTACTGTTTTGATATGAGTTTCTACCCACCATTATGTTGTCTTCTTTCATTCATGTTATCTGTAACATTCTGTAATAATTTTTTATAAACCACCCTATGGTGGTCTTGATTGTTTTTTTTCCTTTCAACTGATGAGTTATTTAGGCCTTATGGCTTCGTTATGATTTGCATGAGCAAACCTTCACCATTTCTTTCCTGTATTATCCTTACCCAGCTGTTTTGGGGGTGCCTCTGCCCCTGGACAAATTCACTATTCACCTTTAAAGGTCAAAAACAGCCCCTTCCCCTCCACTTTTCTCAAGTTTGCTGCTATGGTTGATCTTGGTGACAGGAGCCAGCACTCATTATAGCACAACACCTTGGTCAAAATTAGAATCAGAAGCCCTTGACAAATCTTCCCACCACTCTCCATGAAATTTGAGCCAATACACATGAGAAGGTTCTGGGATTGCATTCTCAGGGAAAATCCTAGGAATAGCCTGGCTTTCTTGTCTCTTGAGTTAGTGTCCAGTGTACCAGTGCCCCACAAGATGTAGAAGCAGAACAAGAAAAAAGACATTTATAGTTTGACATGATTAGCTAGATTTTCAGGATCTCTTTTCTAAGATTTCCTTCAGGATGCCAAGTCTGTTTAGGCAGACAGTCCTTATTCTAGAAATCCACACAGTCAATTCCATGGTGGGCCCTTGTGTTGGAGTATAAGAGAACAAGTAGGAGTTCTAGAGAAAATTCTTCTAGTTGTTTCAGGAATATTGTATCTAGGAATATTGAAAGATGTAATATTTCATTTATCTGGTATGAAGGGGTATTCTACTTAAGCAAATTTTCTAGATAATTGGAACTGACCTTTAAGCATCAATAATTTTACGTTAAACATTTTGATGGAACTCTCTCTAAATCATATTTCATACCATTTTGAATATATGTTTCTTTATGCCTTCTTAAACAGACTATATTGAATATAATTTGACCTTTTCTTGAAAATGTAGTAGCTTCATGAATACCAATTTTACTTTGCTATCACAGTGTTTCCCTCAGGATGAATATCTACTCAGGTGTTTGAATCTTAAATTCTTTTCAATTTAACCAGTATTTCAAGCAACCGTTATGTGTTAGATGCTCTTTCTCATAATGCTTGTCTCTCTTCTATCTCTTATTTGTCAGTGGTATACTAGCATGTGACAGGCTTCATTCTACTCTACCAATGCTACTAGGAAACCAGATACATGAAGCGAATCCAAATTGTTAAAGGGAAAAGGCGGTAAATAAGAGATTTGCCACATCTCTTTTACATAATCAAATTTCTATTTCTTAATACCACAAGGCTGTTGATTTTTAATAATGGAAAGTTGAGATTATTAATTACCTTTAAATAAATAAGTCATAACATTAGAATAGAGAAATACAGTCAAAGACGTTAGTTTGCTGACTTGTGTGTATGTGTGTGTGCACACGCATGTACAAGGTTCTCCTTGTCTAGACTTTTCTCTCTGTCAGGATGGCTAAATAGGGCTCCCAGTTTTATAGGAAGTTTACTTGAAGATATTTTACTTACTTTCTACTGAAAAATGTTGCTGTCTTTTGGGTAGGAGTACCCTGGAAGAAGAAGAAAGGATATTGATAAATAAGCAATTTCTGGAGGCTATTATCATTGTCCAATAATATTTAGTGAGCCATTAGTTATATGTTATTTAGATAACGTTAACAAATTCTTTTTATATGCATAAGCACATATAATTTTCAGGCCAAAAATTTAAAATATATTTATTATTATTGTTATTTGTCCTACCTTTTTACATATTTATATAACTAAACTAAGGCACAGAAAGTCAAAGTATGCTGCCCAAGGTCACATAGTTAGTTAGTGGCAGGATCGGGCCTGGAACCTGGATTGTCTGACCCCACATTCTTGGCTCTCTCAACTATACCATTCTATCTTCTGCTTAACCAGTGACTCTTAGAAAAGCTTATAGGCTAAGAAAACTGCATAAACATATCTTAAGAGAGAAGTCTTAAAAGCTATAAAAATCTAAAGATGAGTGATCAAGTTTGGCTTCATCCCTGGTATGCAAGGTTGGTTCAACATACACAAATCGATAAATATAATCCATCACATAAACAGAACTAAAAACAAAAACCACATGATTATCTCAAGATGCAGAAAAGGCCTCTGATAAAATTCAACATCCCTTAATGTTAAAAACTCTCAATAACCTAGCTATTGAAAGAACATATGTCAAAATAATAAGAGCCACATATGACAAATCCACATCCAATATCATACTAAATAGACAGAAGCTGGAAGCATTCCCCTTGAAAAATGGCATAAGACAAGGGTGCCCTCTCTTACCACTCCTACTCAACATAGCATTGGAAGTTCCGGCCAGGGCAGTCAGGAAAGAGAAAGAAATAAAGGGTATTCAGATAGGAAAAGAGGAAGTCAGACTATCTTTGTTTGCAGGTGGCATGATCCTGTATCTAGAAAACCCCATCATCTCAGCCCAAAAGCCTCTTCAGCAACTTCAGCGAAGTCTCAGGCTACAAACTCAGTGTGCAGAAGTCACAGCGTTCCTATACACCAACAACAGTGAAGCAGAGAGCCAAATGATGAAAGAACTCCCATTCACAATTGCTACAAAAAATAAAATACCTAGGAATATAGCTAACAAGGGAAATGAAAGACTCCTTCAAGGAGAACTACAGACTACTCTGAAAGAAATCAGAGAGGACTCAAACAAATGGAAAAACATTCCATGTTCCTGGATAGAAAGAATCAATAATTTGTAGATTCAATGCTATTCACATTAACCTACCATTGACATTTTTCACGGAATTAGAAAAAAATGATTTTAAAATTCAGATGGAACCAAAAAAGAGCCCCAATAACCAAGACAATCCTCAGCAAAAAGAACAAAGCTAGAGGCATCACACTACCTGACTTCAAACTATACTACAAGGCTACAGTAACCAAAACAGCATGGTACTAGTACAAAAACAGACACATAGACCAATGAAATAAAATAGAAAACTCAGAAATAAGACTGCTTGCCTACAACCATCTGATCGTCAACAAATCTGACAAAAACAAACAATGGGGAAAGGACTCCCTATTCAATAAATGGTGCTGGGAAAACTGGCTAGCCCATATGCAGAAAATTGAAACTGGACTGCTTCCTTACATAATATATAAAAATTAACTCAAGATGGATTATAGACTTAAATGTAAAACCCAAAACTGTTAAAACCCTAGAAGAAAATCTAGGCAATACTGTGGACATAGGCATGGGCAAAGATTTCATGATGAAAATGCCAAAAGCAATTGCAACAAAAGCAAAAATTGACAAGCAGGATCTAGTTAAACTAAAGAGCTTCTGCACAGGAAAATAAACTATCATCAGAGTGAGCAGACAACCTACAGAATAGGAGACAATTTTTGAAAACTATGTTAGACAAAGGTCTAACACCCAGAGTCTACAAGGAACTTAAACAAATTTACAAGAAAAAAACAACCTCATTAAAAAGTGGGCAAAGAACATGAACAGACACTTCTCAAAAGAAGACATACATATAGCCAACAAACATACGAAGAAAAGTTCGACATTACTGATCATTAGAGAAATGCAAATCAAAGCAACAATGAAATACCATCTCATGCCAGTCAGAATTGCTATTATTTAAAAGTCAAACAACAACAGATACTGGTGAGGTCGCAGAGAAAAAGGCATGCTTTTACACTGTTGGTGGGAGTATAAATTTGTTCAACCATTGTGGAAGAAGTGTGGCAATTCCTCAGAAACCTAGAGGCAGAAATACCATTTGACACAGCAATGTCAATACTGGGTATATACCCAAAGGAATATAAATCATTCTGTCATAGAGACACATGCACACAAATATCATTGCAGCACTGTTCACAATAGCAAAGACATGGAATCAACCTAAGTGCCATCAGTGATAGACTGAATAAAGAATATGTGATACATATACATATTGCAGGGACATGGGTGGTATTGGAAGCCATTTTCCTCAGCCAATTAACCCAAGAACAGAAACCCAAACACTGCATGTTCTCACTTATAAGTGGGAGACGAATGATGAGAACACATGGACACATGCAGGGGAACAACATACACTGAAGCTTGTCAGTGGGGGTGAGGTAGTGGGAGGGAGAGCATCAGGAAGAATAGTTAATAGCTGCTGGACTTAATACCTAGGTGATTGGATGATCTTTGCAGCAAACCACCATGGAACACGTTTACCTGTGTAACAAATCTGCACATCCTGCACATGTACCCCTGAACTTTAAAAGTTGAAGAAAAAAAAAAAATCTAAAGATGAGGCTATGTCCTGTATTTCTGTGGCATTCTTGTTTCAAAATATTTTCTGTTATTTCATTGTCCTTTAACCTTCCTTGTGAGATAAAAAGAGGAATTACGATCACATTTTAGAGCAAGTCAGGCATGGTGGTGGGTGCCTGTAGTCCTAGCTACTTGGGAGGCGAAGATGGGAGGAACCCTTGAGCCCAGGAGTTCAAGACCAGCCTGAACAACATAGTGAGAATTCCTCTTTCTACTAAGAAAAATTAGAGCTGTGGAAATGAGGCTCACAGAATTGGAATTACAAAGAAACTTTCAGGATTACAAATTTTGTTCTGTAGTTTGAGTAAGATTACATGTCATGCCAAACAGTCAGTTCTCAGGCAGCCTGTCTCCAAAGATGCTCAGACAACATTAGGTCATTGAACCATCATGGGACCCGGATGAGCTTGATGTAGACAACTTTATTTTTTTCCTCTCACACATAGTTAGAAGGAATATTTTGATGAGCTGTGGGGAGAGATGGTAGGACACATTGGAGATGTCAAAAACTTGGTTCTACAGAACTAGGTCGACTTAATTTCAAGGATTTTGTTTACTAAGCAGAATATGCAAGCTTCAGGGCCAGAATGACTTGTTCAGTACTCTAAGAACCACGGACATGGCCTAACATATATCCAAACATTTGGATGACCCAAGCACAATGGCCAATATTTGATATTCGCTTTTAAGGAAGTGATTAGTTCTCTTTTCTGAGAATTTATCTTGACTATATGTAATTTCTGATGATTGTTAACCTGGACTCTAAAGTCAATATCAATTACAAAATTAAAACCCAACCCAAGTTTAACCTTTTATCCTTGCTGCCACAAGATATCAAGCAGGCCAAGAGGATTGGTTCTCTGCATGAAATTGTTCTGTTTCCTTCAGACCTTTACATGTGTGCTGGTGGGTTCATAATGTTAAATATGAACAGACACTGAAACTGTCATAAAGAAGCAATAAGAAGCAATAGCTTTCTATGTTTTAACTCTCAGGCCAACTCTGACTAGATGATGATAGATGGTGGGTGCTCTGTGTTGAGAGAGATTAGGGACCATGTCGAGATCATCAGGAAAGAGTAATGGGATTGCAGGAGATGGAAGAAGTGGTGTATGTGCCCTATACTGGCCTCTTTCTATAGAGCACACACTCAATTAAGGTTGCTTCTTGCCTTCATTCTGAGTTCTCTTAGGTCTTTGGCTAGTTTTTTAAGAGCCTGTTATTTGTATGGCTGAATGAGAAGAAAGTAGATTGTTCCTTAGAGTCTAGTTTGTTTGTTTAGGGTTGGAATGCTCTGTAATTATAGCTGGTACTTCTCTTGGAAAATGCACATGGCAAGACTGGGTATACATTTGGTGCCTTAGAGTTTGCTGGAGATGTCTTTGAAAGGCAATGACACTGTGAGGAGCCGAAGAGAGAGTGGAGTGTTTACCTCATTATTTTGCCTGGTATGCTCTTTTTCCACAGAGTTCATGCTCACAAGTTTTGATCTATGAAGATAAGAGCCAGGACAGAAATTGAACAAAGTGCACTAAAATATTCATACTACACCATTGTTATTTTAAAAAAGCTTTATATTCTACATCTGTACTGTCCAATATTGTAACTACTGGCTTCCTATAGCTATTTAAATTAATTAAAGTTAAAATTCATTTCCTCAGTTGAGTACATCTTTTATGTACTCAATTGCCATATGTAGTTCGTTTTACCTACTAACTAGCACAGAAAATTCTGCTGGGCAACCTGTTCTAGAATCTTGGCTTAACAGTCAAGCCATAAACCAATGTTCAGCAGGAATCTTGAGTGACTTGAAGGTGTCCTTTAGAAACAAGGACCTACAAGTCCTAGGACCCTGGCCCCTAGGCCACAGTTTGTATTTGGCCTATATAGAAGCTATATGCAGTTTTGATCTCTTGTTCTTGATCTAAGGATTTAAAAATATTTCATAAATAGAAATATTGCTTGACTGCGTTAAGATTTAACTTACAAAGGGGGTCAAGAAATGAAGATGAGGTTTTTGGTAATTTCTCACCATTTAGACTCTTGACAAACTCAGTGTATTATGAGAAGTGCTTTCCTTTTATAATGTCTAATTTTAAATGTTTGTAGTTCAATACAGTGTACAGTTCTGATTTATATAATGTAGTAGCTGTGGTATGAGTCTAGAGATTAGTTTCATGCCTACCCAATATGGTTGGGTGTCCATATATTTGGGGGAAGTGAGGATGGTATTAATTAAAAGGCCTTTCTGTGATATATAAGGAATAGCCTACTTATCAAGGTGACTGACCACCAACTCTTTTTAAAGTACATGTTTATACTCTTAATGTCAACCCAAATAATAATGTGATAATGTGATAAAATTATGAAGGGAGATGTGTTTCTGAGGTCTTTTTAGAAGGATGGGAGAATGACTGGAAGTTTTAAGTTGGTGTGATCTACCGGGGTCAACCAGATCACTAACAGAGGGCAAAGATATGTGGTGTCGGAACTCATTCAATTCCACATAGAAACTGGTCCGAGAACTGTTTGCTCTGACTCAGGCTGAGATGGAGTTTCTACCAAAACTGGGATGTTCCTTTGCCAAAGCTCACACTTCTCTCTCAAGGAACCGAGCCTCTAGTTCTTCTTCTATTTTCTTCAATGTTTCCTGGTACTTCTTCAAAGAGAAACAAAGGAAGCCCCAGTTACTACTTAGGAGGTTTTTAATTTTTCTAAGCATAATGAGCACTTGTTATTTTACATGATACCATGAATGCTTGGTATTTCCACTGCCACTTTCTCTGCTTTCATAAACCTCACCCCACCACTACTCTTGATCTCTCACTACTCCTTACCACTGGATAGGTTTCTGGGCATCATTGACATTATAAATAGCAGAAGTGTGAATTATTAACTTAACAGCATAGAGAGTGGGAGAGCAGGGCAGGAATGCCCAGGGAGACAAAGACAAATAGAGTGATATTGGTAGCGAGGTGGGGTGCTGATGACCTTAAAGTCTCCCAGTAGCACCACCTTGAAGTGTTGAAATTGCCCTGGACAGTATTCTTTGAAAATCCTGGTTCTATTTCATCCTGTACCTTAATAAACCCTTTGCTAGCCCTTTACCAAGAAGCTCTACCTTTATGTAGAGGGCTTGATCTTCACAGAGCTGGGTCACAAAAGCATACTCCTTCATTACCTGGGAAATCAAAATTTGGTTGTAAATATATTTCAGTAAATTGCTGTAAGAACACAAGCATACTTGCTTCCTCCAGTGTCCCAGCTCCTAAATGTGGTTTTCTAATTATTCTAAATATGTTTTCTTTTTTGCTGTACAGGTAAATGGATTTCCTTTGTTTAGGGTAAATAAGCTAAATGGGAGTTATTGGTCAAAGGTGGAATTTGGGAGCAGCTGGGAGAGGAATAGATAGATACTAATATTTGCAAGATATAAACTGTTGAGTGTATTCTGTAAAAAAAAACACTGAAGAGAAGGTCACCTCAGGGATTGTGTTTATCTTCCTTTTTTTTACCCCTCCCTAGCCCCATCATGGTCTTGGATCTGGAACCTTTATGTAAATCAATCATTTGAGAAATAGATTATCTGACCAAAGATCACATTTCCCTTTTCGGGGAGAAGTCACACTGAAGTTCCCGCTGTTACCTTGAGCAGCTCCTTCTCTTGGCGTGCATAGGAAGCTTCCAGCTGTTGTAACTTAACCTAAAGAAAACAAAAGAGACTGCTAACTTGGCAAGGTGAAAGCTGTGCAGGAATGGAATGCTGTCACCAAGGTGGTCTCAGGAGCCATGAGGAGCCTCAGGGCCACGACTTCACACGTCTCCTGATGGAGGAGTTAAACTACCCAGCACCCTTTGCAGCTGCTTGTTAAACTTGCTCTTTTATACTCCTTATCTTTTAGTCTTCATCTGATGCTACCTTCATCCCTAAACTTCAGTTCTGAGCTTCCTACTCTTACTTAGCCATTTCTCTGAAAAACAATACCAGTTTTGAAAAACTTCACTCTTCCTTTTCCTTTAATATGGTCGATCAGGCTCTAAGGCATTTGTTCACTCCTTTCTCCCTCCCCGTATGCCTTGCTCGCCCTTTTATTTCCTTCAATACTTGGAAAAAGACCATTCTACATCAGCTGCTATGCTGGAGTGAAGCATGTGTGTGTCGGGGGGCAGGGAGTAGTACTTAGGATACAGTAGTAGACAGGACGGACTAGCTCTCCACCCTTGCAGAGCTGGCCTTCTAGTAGGAAGACGACAAATACGTCTACATGATAATGGTATGTGCTATGAAGGAAACAAAAACATTAACGTTTAAAGATAGTGATGGTAGTGGTGGTGTGAGAGGAGGTGGTAGGTGGTTGGCAAAGGCCTCTCTGATGTGATGATACCTGAGCTAAAGCCTAAATGATAAATGCTAGCTAAATGGAGATCTGGAATAAAGATGTTCTCTGTGAAGGGTATGGCAAGGGCCGAGACTATGAGGTTATCACAGATTCGGCTTGTATGAGGGAGTCGTGTGACCAGAGCGTAAGGGAAATTGGTAGGTAGGAAGCAAGGTGGGATAAGGTAGACAGGGGCTAGATTGTGTAGGGCCTTGTGGCTTCTAAAAGGATTTCGGGTCTTTGTTCTAATTGCGGTGAGAAGGCAGGACAGGCTTGAAGTCTAAAGACACAATCTGATTAATGTTTTTAGAGAATAGCCTTTTCTGTGTCTGAAGAAAAGGATTGTTTGGGTGTGAGAGTAGAAGCAGGGAGACTGGTTGAGAGGTGACTCCTTTTGTCCAGGTAAGGGGTTATGGTGGCTTGCAAAAGGATAGTAGTAACAGAAGTGGTAGAGAGGAATGGATACATTTGGGAGATAATTTGGCAGAAGAGCAGACATGCCCATTCTTCCTTCCCTTTTTGGCTCTGCTGTTCCCACTTTCACCTAGGTGCTATTATTTCACACCCAGATTCTTCTGAGAGTTGCTTCACTCTTCAGTTAGTTACATCCAGGACCAGTTATCCAAATGTGCTAAGGGATATATAGTTTCAAGCCAATAGTGTGAGTCACAAAGGGTTGAATTAGACACTCCATTAAAGCTGCTGCACTGATGACTAGCATGCCAGAGGAACAGACGCAAAAGAGATTCTGTACATTTCACAGAATTAGAGCTATCACCTGATAATTCAATAAAATACGTGGGCAAAGAGTGGTTCAAAGGATTAAACAATACTCTAGAACTCTTTAGGGCTAGCCAGCAAAATAATGGCCATTATTCTGACTAACACTAGACTCTATTCTCTATTACCTGACAGAGTGAGCACAGCCAGACTTAAAGTGTCACCACTCAATTCTGACTGGGCTTATTTTCTGGGAAAAATAAGTGATTTTGTAAGAAAATCAGTGTCCTGACCACTGGAATCATATGGCAAGTGCAGTCAGGGGTGTTTATAGCTATTCCTAATTTGGGCTCCAATTTCTTCCAGATTTCTCTTTCCAGATAATTTACCTGAATGAGCACAGCCAAGCAAGCTTATTTGGTGGCTTTGGACTTCCTATTTTTGTGGTCATCAAAACTAAATTGGCCAAAAGATAGGGGAGTAATTCTCCATACTTTCATTTTCTATTTCTATTTTCTATGTATCCAAATCTTCAGAGGCTTCATACACACAACCAAGTGTAGGCTTTAGAGGGTAAAGAGAAGTTAGATAAGGCAAGGACAAAGATGTAATTCTAGAGAAGGTGTCAAAAAAATTTTATCTGTTCTTCTCTGAAGAAAAATAAAGTCTCCGCAATGCAACATGTCTATGTTAGCAAAATGGCACTTGTACCCCCTGAATATATACAAAAAATTTCTCTCTCTCTCTCATCAAATAGGTTGTGGTTGGTCTCAGGTTCTTAGCTCTGGAACACAATTAGAGACATGCCAAGCAGAGTGTGATGTGCTTAGCAGGTAGTGGTCACATTAAATACTTGAGTGACTAATTGAATCCTTTTCTAGATTGGAATCCATGACAGGGTACATAAATTGCCGAGCACTCAGTAGACTTACAAATCCTAGTTCTTCCTCTCTGAATTCATACATGCACCTCAGCAAGACTTTTAAATAATTACGTAAAACTTAAAGGAGAGAATATTTTATATACACAATTTCATTTAATCTTGAAACTGAGGCTAAGGGGGAATAATTAAATTACCCAACTTCATACACCAAATTATGTGCTGTGGCTTTAAACTGGGGACTTTAACTGCCCCCACATGTTACATATGCATTTGTGCCCTCCTCTTCCTAACAGAAGAGAGAACAATAAATAAGACTTAAGAGTGACATTCCTTACTAAGGGCAGAGAAGAATTCAGCACTCAGTGGCTCAAGCTTAAGCTTGATATGGGGGAAAACTACCAAGAATTTGTCACAACGTTGACAATGATTTCCAACTTAACAGCTTATTTCCTGGTTACATAGCCCGACCACATTTAGGATTGCTTTTTCATTTACCTTTGTCTCTTCTAGGGCTCCATCTGGACTGCTTTGTTCACAATTGGTTATCTTTTGTGATTTCCTTGTAAGCTATAGTTTCAAATAAAAAAATGTACTAAATTAAAAGGTGTAGAAGGCAAAGACTTTCTCTGGTGTGTGGAGATTAGTAACTATGGCCTTGATAAAACTTTCCAGGACATAGTCCTTTGGTAGATATTTGGTGACCTATGGAAAACATCTTTGTTCTACCTCCATCTTCTTCTCACTAGTCTTGGCCACTGATGCTAGAGTCCACTCAAGGCAGGAGTACTTTCCTTAACCCGTAATTCATACTGGGTTACTCAGGGATACAGCCCTCTACAGTAGAGGGCTACTCTCTACTCATGGTCAGAGAGTAGGGTAGTCATTGGAAGCCCACTGTATTCTGAGGAGGTATTGAGGTATTGGAAATGGCTAGGTAAGAAAAAGGAAATCCTTGGGGATTAAGTTAATTATTGTTGTTATTGTTTGAAAGTTCTCTTTCAAAAGTAAAATTAACCTCTCACCACAAAGGTTCCAGTCAATGACTTCAACAGAGTATCTGTTGGAACCCATTTTCTGGCGATAGAATGAAGAACCCATGAGATTACTAAATATTCCATCCATTCCTTTCCCCTCATGCTTACAGAGAAAATCCATAACATTTAGGTCATGAACCTTGGCCTCAGGAGAGTGGATTAGAGAGTAGTATGCACTCCCCATACAGGCCTCTCTGACTTACGGGTTCCTCTATGATCACTTCCCCCCAACCTTGCCTCTTTGATGAGTGGGGCTGTTGTGGGGGCACTGGAGAACACAAGAACCCCACCTCACCTTTTGTTGAAGTTCTGTTATACTGTGAACCAATGTCTTATTCTTCCTTTCCTGTGAGAGAGAAATAACAGTGTAAGTCTGCCTCTGTACTCCACCTGTTCTCATTCAGTTGATTGCTGTCCATTTCACCCCAGCTATATTTTCCTTCAGTAACTTGACCTTATTTGCATAATGTCATGTGTATATTGAAATCAAACAACAGGTAAAATACAGGGATATAGATGCCCATCTGTAGGGCTTCCCAATTATTAAACATTGCCCAAGAAGCCAAACACATCCCCTTCCATGCATGGACAAATTCTGACATGACTTTTGAGGTGGCTACTCTTCATGTATAAAAAGGAGAGATAAGCTTATCTGATAATTGATGAAGGATGGAATGAGGAATGCAACCTATTAAACGGCTCTTCCTAACTTCTTGCTTACAAGTCTGGCTGTTTCTTCCTCCAGCTCCTGCAAGGCTCTTTCCCTTTCCATCGTGGTGCGGTTCTCCTTCTCCCACTCTTCATCTTCCACCAGGTCCCCCGTCTGAATGATCTCACTTTCCAGCCTGGACAACACAAGCATATGCCATGAAGACCCATGCTTGGCAGTTTCAGAACTGATAAAACACAGATGTCTGATATAAGGGAACTTTAGGGACAATGTACATGAATCTCAAGCTGAAAACTCTTCCTTACTGAATCCATAGGATCATGATCACTTCAGTATTATAAAAAGGAAGACCTGCCTGATTCCTAAGCCAAATACCCCAATGTTCTCTCAACTCCATCTTGTAGGAATCTATTTGAAACTTGCTGTGCTTCAGTGTTCAAGAGAAATGTCAAAGAATGAAGAAGTAACTTCCTGACACACAAGATAGAGGTCTCTAGAACAAGCAGGAAAATTCAGTTTTGGTTTTGATCCTCCACCCCTTCTTTGGATTGGGACCTTCCCTCATGAAACCTTAATACTCACCTCTGAATCTTATCTTCTCTCTCTTGGATTTTGAGAAGAAGTTTCTGATTTGCTTCATCCATTCTCTGCATATCCCTTTCAAGGTCCGTGTTCAAACTGATAATGTTTCTTTTTGACTGAGCCAATCTAAAGATTTCCATTTTCTCCGACCTATAGACTCAGCCCCCAAAATGAACAAGGGCCAGTTATCTGAAGATCAATAATCATTGGGCCAAAAAGGATATTTAGAAGACATCTAGTTTATTAACCTTGCTCTCTCTGGGGGCATACCATTTTCATTCTTGAAAAATTACATTTCTTGATCATGCTCTACAACTGTTTCGATAATTCTCAGCTCAGTCAGCAAGGGTCTTTCCCAGGCTTTCTCCTCCAAAGTGCTCAATCTAATAGTGCACCTCCACTCTGGTTTCATGAGAAGCTTTGCTTCCTTAGATAGCCCCTAGCATTGAAGAGAAATGTTTCTCTTGGAAATCTTTTCTTAGATAAACTATTCACAAAACCCGCTCATACAATACACATCTATTGAACACTTTTATCTCAGCACCTGGCACATCACTTCTGATTGGGGCTGGCATTCTGCATAGCCACAAGGGGTTTCCACCAGCATAATAGGGCTTCATTCTTTCCCTTCCTCCTCCCAGCTCAACACCTCTCCCTCACTTATCTGCTACAAAGTTTGAAATTTTTACCATGAGAGTCATTCCATTAAGCACACACACACATAGGCTCTAGGCATAGCTTTCAAAAATGCAAACATCTTTTTTGAAGTAAATTTAAATGAAATAATGGTAACTCTAGAGTATTTTAGAAAGGGTACATGGGAGGCTCTTGATATATTTTTCTTTTTCTTCTAATGTAAATTAATTCATTGGTTTGTGTTTGAATTGATTAACCACAACTAGTGTAGTGAGGCACCAGGGCTTTTGTTTTAGATAGGAATGAAGGATAATATTGGAAAGTTAAGTCCTATCTTGGAAGGGCTTGCTTGGATGGGGGATTTATAGTAATTACTTCAGGAGGGTATGGCATGCTTGGGGTCGGGTGTGGAGGTGGGTGCATAACAGGAGTAGAAGGTGAGAAGAAGGCTGGAAGATGAGGGAAGGGGTCAATAGCAAACCTGCTTTACACCTTGGTCTCTGGATGTGGCTTTGCATAATCATGACTACTTAATCCAGTTGATCTTTCTTGTGTCCTTCCATTGTAGATTCCCTAAAATGCCAACAGAGATGTATCTAATGAATTGGAAAAATGGCTGCATTTGTCAAGAACAGAGTAACTGGGGAAGATTCCTGAAATGTAGAAACCAAATTAAGTTAACTTGTTTTCTGCCTCGAATCCCCACATTTTAACCATGACAAAACTCAGCCCTTTGATTCTTCTGCCCATGATCTGATTATACCCTAGTAAAGATACGGTCAGGATACAGAGATAATTCTGGAATATACATCCTATTAGTAGACATAGTCAGAGATGGTTTATCAACATAAAACCCTGTGGAAGTTTATACAAGACAATATAAAGAAATAGAGGTAATCAATACTTAAGTCTCTTTTTGCTCTAGGCCAGTTGCTTTCCATAAAGCACCATAGGCATGGATGTAGGTTTACAACTGCCCTGAAAAATAATCTTTGCTCTCTATCTTGGTGTATGCCAGAATTTCCAGATATTAAGATCTTTAGTATTAAAGCGGGCTCAGAAAACCAAGTACATGTAAATCATTTGGCTCTCTCTTCCCCTTAGTTTCTTTTTTCCCCTTTATTTCTTCTATAAACTCTACCTCTCCCTTTTGGTGTATCTTGTCTCCCTGATCCTTCCCTAGTCAATTAGCTTCTGAGGAGTCTAATCTTTCTCCACTGGAACTATCCAGTAGAATCTCAGAACATTCTGAGAGGTCATGACTCTTCTTTTGACATAGGATGGGTGGGGCAACATGTCATAGTGGGGTGGGTGGCAATGGTTTCTCATCATTTGTGTAGAGTCTAGAGCCTAGATAAGTGTATGGATTTCATGGCCAAGTCTGCCCTAAGTAGCAGTAGGTTCAACAGATTTGATTTCTGGGTAGTTTGAGGAGCAGCCTCTATCTTTTATTTCTCTGGCAGATAAAGCTCTCTTCCTGCCCCAGTGTGACTAAAATGGAAAGTCTAGGTCCTTTGGCCAGCAGTCTAATTTCAACATATAGCCAACTAACTACTCATTCATTCAACAAACAGTGAAACACTGAATGAGCACAATGTGTGTCTTCTAGGCTCTGTTCTAAGCACTGGAGAGAAAGAGTGAACAAAGCAGCCAAAAGCCATTGACCTCATGAAGTTTATATTCTAAGATGTGTGTGTGTGTGTATGTGTGTGTGTGTATGTGCGTGCATGTGTGTAGGGGGGACTGGTAACACAATCAATAAAATAAATAAAATTAGTTTTACTTGATACGATAAAAGAGGAGACTGCTGAAACCATACCCCAAAGAGTTAAAGAAACCAGTGACTAACAGAAATTCTTGAGCTTGCAGAATAGCAGATAAGAAAATGAACAACTTGCAGAAATGCTGAAACTCCCTCTATTTGAGAGGTTTTAAAACAAAAAACCTAGCTGAAATTGGTTGGAACCAATAAGGCCAACTGGAGTCTGTGCAGAACAAGCTTACTAATGTCACAGCTTGAGTTTCCACTGTGTGTTTCATACTAATTTCCTCTAAATTTGCACATGGGACCCATAAGGAGGCATGAAGAGATAATTGTGCATGCCCGAGGACTTTTCAGACCTCCCCTTTTCTTCTGCCAGTCATTTGCTAATTCCAGAATCCACTTCCTAAACCTTTTCTAGTAAAAGTACTGCCTGAAAGCCAGCGCAGGTAGACAGATTTTAGTTGGATTCCTGTCTCCTTGTTGGTAGACCTACAGTAAAAACCTTTTTTTTTTAACCTCAAAAACCTCACGTCATAGTACTGGCTTCCAGCACATTGGGCAGTGAGGCTGTTTTGCTTGGGAACACTGCCGTGAGGAAACAGAAACAGGTGAAGGAGGTAAGAGCGAATGCAGTGTGTATATGCGTTTTGTGTATGGTGGGGAGGTTGTTGCAAGTACAACTAGGGTGGTGCAGAAAAAGCGGCTGAGCATTCTCAGACCCGGAAGTGGTCTGCAGATGTGGTAAGAGGCTGGGTGGACAAGAGAAGCCCTCCAGTTGTGCTGAGGTGGACACAGAGTCCAGCAGATCTAGGAGCAGGCAGGGGAGGCATGAAAACCCAAACCCTTTCCTGTGATGCTTCCTGGGTACGTAGCTTTTCCTTGTACCTGCCACCATCTTAGGAAAGAGCAGCACACTGGAGAGGGAGAATCTCCTTAAAAGACTGAGAAATTACCTGAAAGAGATTTTTAAATTGGAAAATTTTATGATATCTGAGACTGACTTGAGTGAGTCTTTCCTGCCAACTTTAGGAACAGGAGCTGGAGGGGAAGGTATGATCAGTTGCAGAATCTAAAGCATATATTTCTACGTGCCTGAAGGTATGTTCCTTTGATAAGATTCTGTACCGTTTGTGACTTTTTGTGTATGCGAGTCACGGAAGCTTGTGAAGTTTTGGATCTCTACTTAGGAAGGACCACATTGAGTTGATTTGTGAGCCAGAGTGACTTCTGAACATACTGTCGTTTCCAATAAACTATTTGTAAAATTAATGGCCTCTGATGACCCCCATTACCATCTCCCTTCTTCCTGAAAGAAGGCATTTCATTGCTTTATGAAGCTGTACACAGAAGAGTAATTAAGTAACAATTCAGGCCAATGGCCTCTCCCAGGAATTAATGGTAGGGAGAGTTCATTAACCCCAGCTGGTTATAGCTTCTGCAGGAAATGCCCTGGACCAAGGTTATCGAAGCTGTTAATGGATTGGACAGGGACTTTAACTGGGATAAAAATAAAGCTCTATCTCCTTCCTGGGGAGCCTTTCTCCTTGAGGGGCTACTGAAGGCAAGCTGGTATGAGCAGCAGAACCCCAAGCTTGAGGCCTTGTGTGGGATGAGGACAACAGATTGCTATCATTGGGAATTGTTAAATCAAGGTAAAAACAGGGCCTTGGGGGCAAATTAAGGTGTTTGATATAAGCCTTCCTGCTATTCGGGAGATGGTTTGATTAACACAGAGTGCAGCTTTAGAGCAGCTGTTTTTGTCTTGTTAACTTTTCAGTGCCATGCCTTGCGCCATTCTGCTGGGAGACCCCATCCCTATAAAAGCATTCAAAGATTTTATTTGTATAAGCATTATAATTTTCAGTATAAGCAAAATATAAAACAACTTATATTTTGACCCTTTATAAATCAGTATTCAAAATAAAAAATATAAGAAAAGTAAGGACAAGAAGGAATAACTCTCTCACTGGGATTAAAAGTCAATATTAAAAGATCTCCCACATGTATGACTATACCTGGAACATTTTCTGACTCATTCTTCTGGAAGGCTGGAAAAGTGCAACAGGAAAAGGGAATTTTCTTGATTATCACATGGTGATGCTACCATGGAGCAGTGATTTATGTATGCTTCATCTTAGTAACAGTTTTTTTGTTTGTTTTTAATGAGGTCATTTCATCAGAGGTAACCAATGCTTGGTAGCTGCTTTCATCATCCTTTGCTTTATTTTAAAGTTTGCTTCCCTAACTTTTATCTTTAAAATTTGCAGTTAGTTAGTGATAATTAAATGGAGGATTCCTAAAAAAGAATAACTGGAATAACTTACATGCAAAGTCTTATAAACAATTTACACTGACTTCCAATGTAACTGCATACTCTTTTCTCAAGTCTTCCAGCTCTGTGTTTTTCTGCCATATGTGGAAAACACAAACGTTTAATTTTTTAATTAGTCTTATTTGATAATTGTAGAGAATCTTCCATACATTGAGACTTTGCAGCATCTTTGGTTCAACCAAAGTAATATTGTGCTGAGATAGTCATGCTATAAATGACATCATTAACTTAGCTTTGGCTACATACCTATCATTCTTTCTTTGTTTAACAAATATTTTTATTGAGCATCTATTATGTACCGACCTAGATCATGGGATAACCCATGGATGACTACTCAGTTTCATAAGGGAGACAGACATGTACCTAGTATGGCCCTCCCTACAATGTAATACATGTCCCACTGAAGAAAGGTAGAAAGTAGGTAGAAAGCGCTTTGGAATACAGAGAAGAAACATCTAGCTTTAAGTGATTTGGGGAAGCTTCCATGGGAAGGTAACTTTGGGTTAAGTTAATCCTAAAGGAAGGGAATAACTTTACCAGATAATGTAAAAGGGCTTGGTAAGAGGAGGAAAACAATAGTTTCAAAGGCACAGTATGCTCAGTGTACAACAAAGAAGTCACTGTAGTTTCTGTCTAGAGCAGTGCATACCAATGTGTGTTACATGAACGACTGGTGGTGTAACATGACACAGAGAGCAACTTCTTAATTTTAAAAAGTTAATTTCAAGAGTAATAGTCAACTATTTAGTAAAATTGAAAGTGGCACATTAAAACTTGGCTAAAAGACACTGCTTAGCACGAGGATAATTTTAAGTAAAAACATTACTTGGTTTATAGAAAACTATTAAATTGATAGCAATTCTGGGGGAACGTGAATGTAGCAAACACTGTGGAGGCAGTGTGTGAGTGACTGAAGTCTGGGAAACAGAGCTCTAAGAGTGTATGTGGCATGGCATGGTGGGGAAGAAACAGCTATGTTGGCTGAGGAGCACCATGTGCGTGTGCTGCAGACTTTGGGTTTCCCCTTGAAACCTCCTGAAGAGGCATTTGAGACTTCTAAGCAAAGAGTGGTAAAATCATTGTCTTTGAGAAAGATCACTCAGAGGCAGTGAAGGATGGATATAAGGAAGGAGTCCCCTCCTTATCCCCGTGCTTGTCTATGCTACGCACTCAGATTAGATGTCTGAGGGGAGATGTATTACATATATTTCCATTTATAACGGAGGCTCAAGTTTTTTTCTTTCCTCCAACCAAAAAGAGTACATTTGGAAATTTATTTTTGTTTGTTATCTTTTCTTTTTTTCTTTGTTTTTAATTGACACTTAATAATTCTATACGTGTATACAAGTTTTTACCGTGGATTTTTTTTCTATTGAAAATAATATATTGGAAGTTTTTCCCTTTTATATTATTTATACTCTGGTTAGTTTTTAAAGGCAATGCTGAGTGTTTTTCTACATGCACAAGGTCTGTCAAACTGGCTGTGAGAGTTTTTATCTCTGACTCCCTAACTTTGACCTGATTAGATAATCATTGGCTGAACAAGAGCTCATCCATAGATGGTTTGGTCTCCTATTGTTCCTTAAATTTATTTATTTTTTCCACTGGGACTAATTCTTCCTCCAAATGGAAACTTGGAAATCCCATGACATTTTCTGGTTGCTTGCAGTCACACAGCAATGTTCCAGTTCGATAATCAAGACATCTGATATCATGCAGTCATCAAAACCCTGAACTTGGTATGGAGTTGAGTATTCAACCCTCTGGCAGCTGAGGTCTACTGTAGGCAGAAAAGCTGTAACTGAGGAAGGGGGCTCTGTTTACTTATCTCTTTCCACATGGAGCATGTCTGCTCTTCCCTCCCACCAAGCTGGCTATGATGGTGAACATACACCTACTACATAGGAGAGGGAAGGGGACTTAAAAAGTTCTTACTTGCTCTTACAGATGTTTTGGAGGTTGCCCGACCAGTATCTTGGTGTAACTGGGATCTGTAGCCCTGACCTGGACAGTAGCATGTCTAATCTAGCTCTTCACTTGCTTCTCTACTAACTGCAAGACTTTTGTCATTTTTGTCAGCATCC